CCGCAGGCATATCAACAATTGTGAGGTAGGTGCAGGACTGGGCAGTGTTTAATTCCATTGTACACAGAGTAGCAAGGAGTCACATCCAACTCAACAACAAAAATGCCTGTTCTGGTCAGTTGTATGGAATGGCTTAGTAGGGATGTATTTCAGAATTTTTTTAGGAGTGGGTATTACCGTGCCCAGCTTCACTTAATGTTGGCTTCCAAGTAACATCTGGCCAAGGTAGAGGTACTTTATTGCTCATGAAGAAACTCACTCAATGTTTATAAATGAACTTTCCATCTATCATAATATTCTGAAATGCACACACAATTAAGAGATGGAAAAGACTCCTATGCATGCGTGCAGTGCCAATGTATCTTCTGTAGACATTTTTTCTACTAAAAATAGGCAGTATGTGGGTCTATAATTCATTGATGTCTGCCATGGTAATGAAAGGATGAACATGGAACTATGGACTGAATTTACTTTGATAACTACTATTTCCCTTTCCCTCTGAATGGATGCTATGTGAAACATGAAGTTGTACCTTGAAACTGTTCAGGGCAGAAGTAGATTGTAGACAACTCTAAGTATCCACCTGAACTTCATGGTCATATTTCCTTCAAGATGGTTTAGGCAATTTCTTTTGTGTTCCAACCTTACTAAAGTAATAGCTGTAGAACTGGGTAGTAGTCTTGAGAGGAGTGATAAACAAATACCAAGGAAGAAAGGATGTATTAGTAAGAAATAATATTTTTATGTGTTCTTAAAAATCATTTTATTAGTGGGAAATAATATATATTTAAATGAGTAAAAGAATACAATCTTTAAGTGGGAAAGGTAAGGTAGCCTGTCAATCCTTCTGTGGTAATTACATAATTTCATGTCAACTTGAAGATATAAAGTGAAAGGGTGGAGTTTAGCCTGTCAATCAGGTCACAGCTTGATGACCTTGTTTGGAGGTGCCACTGAGATAAAAGGCTCTCTGGAGGTAGGCCACTCTCTCTCTGCCTTCCCCTTCCTGTGAATGAGCCACATTGGGAGCTGCTGGAGCCACTGCCATTGGATCCTTGGGACTTCCCATCCACTGGTGGTGATGTTCCTGCATTCTGCATTTGACTGTGTAAGTCTGAAGAGGGACTTATGAACTAGTATCAGACTTATAGACTTGAGTTGGACTGGGCTGGGATGTTTTATTCATGCATAATTACTTCTTGAAATAAAGTGCTTTCTTACACATATATGAGTATCTCTGGATTTATTTCTCTAGTCAAAATGGCCTAATGCATTGTGGTTACTTGGGAGTGGGGTGCTACAGAGACAAAACATGAAGATGGAGAGTGGATGCTTGTCTGACCATTGCCTCATGGCAGTCTTTCTGTTTTGGCTAGCTGGAGGTCAGATATGGCCATGCAGTTTACTGGGCTATTTTCTGGAAAGGACAAGGGAAGTGAAGGTTTTGATTCCCAGAAGTTGTCTTTGGTTAATCCTGTCTGAAATGGTGAAAATAAATGTGATAAATATAAATTTTGAGCTTAGGAGCTGAAATCCCCCCTTGAACCTCTCTGAGTCAGAGGCCATGCTGCCTAGTCAAAATGACCAACAGAAGGTCTGGCCCTGGCTTGATGCAGCCAGAGGCCTAAGGCCATATAAATGGGATAGTTTAGAAAGAAATGGGCTAGTTTAAGAATTGAGTTTAGGATCCGGCTTTCCTAGGTTTTTTTTTTTTTTTTTCTTCTTCTGTGTTTTCCTAGGTTTATACTGACTTTTTTCTGCCAATTGTTATTGATATAATGATCGATAGAAATGATTATTAGGAAGAATGAAAGTCAGAGTTTGTAATTTTACTGCCTTCAGACAGTAAATTGGATCTTTAAATGGGTATAGGACACACCTGCAAAGAAGGTTCTGAAAAGGTAAGCCAGTGCCTTGAGTGCTCAGTAAATTTGCATTTGAAGAGAACTGTTGACAGATGGAAGAAAAAAAATAAAGGAGCCCTTTGGATTTTTGAATTTTGAACTAGTAGTTTGTGCCTGAAACTCGCAAAATCTGGAGCCATGAAGGGACTTTCCTCTCTAGGACTAAATGTCAAAGGGAGCCTGTGGGCAGCCTGAAATGCTTTCTAGGTGACTGCCTGGATCCATTTCTTCAGTGGAAGTTGGAGAAATGCAGCAATAAAGAGATGGTTGAGCCTAGCCACTGACACCTGTGGACCTGGTTCACAGGGACTAGAGAAGAGAAGTGTGGAACTTGAGCCTATGGCATGACCTAGCCCAAGGGGCTAGGGTTGTTGAGAATTTGTAATGGGATCCATGGTGGAAGGTGAGGCAGCCAATGGAAACTCTGGTGAGGCTAAGCGAGGTAGCCACATTGAGTTGATCAGAACCTAACTAGATTAAGATAAGATTGTTGAGCCTGTGAACTGGTGTATATTGCTGTTGACTTTATGGGTGGCCTGTTGTGATTTTGCTTATAGATGTGGACTCACAAGGTTCCAACGAGAATGAAGATTCTTTATAACAGTGAACATGCTGGTCTCCTCAGAGCACTGGGTTGATATAAATGGGCAATGTAGAAATTGGATAGTCAAAATGAAGGGTTTAAAGGCATGAAGTGGCTGGCTTATAAACTTTCATGGGTGGGGGAATATGCTCATAATATAATCAAAGGGTTATGGCTTAAGTGTTCACATAACTGCCATTTTCAGGCATAGGATAGTTTTGTCTTGTTCACTTATAGGATATTATATATAAATGGGGCTGGCACATTTTGAAATATATGCATTTTAGTTTTATCCTGTTAGGCACAAATACGATTTTACTATTGTCTTAGTTTTAAAAGTTATGTATGGCTAAAAAGTTATGTAAAAGTGTCAAGTTGACAAGGTAGGGTCTGTGGTAGTTACATAATTTCATGTCAACTTGAAAATATAAAAGTGAAGGGGTGTCTAGCCTGTCAATCAGGTCACAGCTTGATGACATTATTTGTCATCAAAATTTTGGTAAGCCAATTTGGAAAGTTTCTCTGGAAATTTATCTTTAACTTAACATCCAGATAAATGCTGAGCGAACAGAAACACTGGTCAGTATCTTGGAAGTGGCAGTTGATATCATGCCTGAGAATTCTTTTTTTTTAATTAAATAATCATTTTATTAGGGGCTCATACAACTCATCACAATCTGTACATGTGTCATTTGTGTCCAGCACATTAGTACATATGTTGACTTCATCATTCTCACAACACCCGCTTTCCACTTGAGCCCTTGGTGTCAGCTCATTTTTTCCCCTCCCTCCCTGCTTCCCCCTCCCACCTCCCCCTTGATATTATTATTTTATCATATCTTACCCCATCCAACGTCTCCCTCACCCACTTCTCCACTGTCTGTCCCCCAGGGAGGAGGCCATATATAGACCTTGTCATCTGTTCCCCCTTTCTCCCTCACCTTCCCTCCACCCTCCTGCTATCGCCACTCTCTCCACTGGTCCTGGGGGGTTCATCTGTCCTGGGTTCACTGTATTTACAGTTCCTATCTGTGTCAGTGTACATCTTCCAGTCCAGCCGGACATGTAAGGCAGAATTGGGATCATGGTAGTGGCGGGGAGGAAGCATTTAAGAACTACAGGAAAATTGCATATTTCATCACTACTACACTGCACTCTGATTTGCTCCTCTCTTCTCCGCAGCCCTTCTGCAAGGGGATGTCCAATTTCACCCGGATGGGCCCTGGGTCCCCACTCTGCACTCCCCCTCATTCACAATGTTATGTTTTTTTGTGTTTTTTTTTGGTCTTTGATGCCTGATACCTGACCCCTTTGCCGTCTTGTCATCTTACAGGCTGGTGTACTTCTTCCATGAGGGTTTTGTTGTCTCTCAGCTAGATTGCTGCTTGTGTATCTTCAGGTCTTTAAGGCTTCAGGTGCTGTATCTTTTGGTAGCTGGGCACCATCAGCTTTCCTCACCACACTTGCTTGTGCACCCATTGTCTTCAGTGACTTCAGGTGTTATATCTTTTGGTAGTGAAGCATCATCTGCTTTCTTCACCACATTTTCCTGTACACTCATTGTCTTCAGTGATCATGCCAGGCAGGTGAGCATCTCAGACTCATGCCTGAGAATTCTTCTCAAAACAGAATGGTGCTGGATTACTTCTTAGGAGGAAGGGAGAGGCCTAGATGCACTATAATTAATACCAAATGTGGTATATCACATTTTCACATGAAAACAACCCACAGACACATATAATGCACATAAGAAGTGAATACATAATAGGGGGTATTCCATAATGTTCTATAAGGTTGCTATGAGTTGGAAGCAATTCAATGGCAATGAGTGAGTAACTATAAGTAACAAAAGGAGACCTATACAAATGGAAGAATATCCCATGTTCTTGGATAGGAAGGCATAACATTGTGAAAATATTAATATTACCCGAAGCAACCACCCAAGCCATGTTATTTTCAATTGCCTAAGATGCATGTGAAAGTTGGACATTGAGTAAGGAAGACTGAAAAAGAGTCAATGAATTTTAAATGTGGTGCTGAAGAAGAATATTAAAAGTACTATGGACTGCCAAAAGGACAACCAAATCTGTCCTGGAAAGAGCATGACAGAGTGCTCCTTAGAGGCAAGGATGATGAGACTACATCTTACAAACTGTGTACATGGTGTCAGGAGACACCCGTCCTTGGAGAAGGTCATAATGCTTGATAAAGTAGAGGACCAGCGAAAAACAGGAAGGCTTCAGAAAAGATGAACTGACACAGTGGCTGCACCAATGGGCTCAAGCACAGGAACAATTGTGATGATGGTGGAGGTGCAGGCAGTGTTTCGCTCTGTTGGACATAGGATCACTATGGGTCAGAACTGACTCTATGGCACATAGCAACAGCAACAATAACAACGACACTCTCGAATGCTAAAGTTCATTGATTAATTTACTACCCCAATTTTAAAAAGGAGAAAATACAATGATTTTGAATACGTCAGGTCTACTATTTAATGAATCCTCTGATAGAAATGTGGAAGGCACTAAGCTCTGATGAACATGTTGATTTGGTGCTAAAATAAAGTGTAAGTGATACTACTCCAGCCCCAATGATCATTTCCACAACCCGTGGGCCAGGCAGATTTTATTAATCTGGCCCATCTCACTTTATAATCACCATCATCTCTGGTATACTTTCTTAATCTCTTCTAAAATGAGATACACAATTCCGTTGGGTCTGAAGAAGGTTTATGTTTTCTCAAAAGAAGAGTTACAAATGCTTCGTTGACGTCTGTGTTCATTCTCCCAGTCACCCCTATCTCAGAGGTAACTCATGCAGCACTTGGCTTTCCCATTGTAGCAAGTGCCTTTAACTTCGCTGAAGAGTGGGCAAAGGGAATAGTGACAGGTTCCTCCATTGTTGACACATCTGTAATGGTCATACCTCCGGCCTACCTCTGTAAGAAGGGATAAAAACATTTTAGAGCCATGGCAGTAGTCACATCATGCTTAGGGAATTGGGTTAAATCAGGACAGACAATTCATTTTGCAAAGCATTTCAAAATGTTTTCTCTTCCACAAAATCTGTGCCCAAGAAGTCTTTGGTTATGCTAATGAAATTTTGTATCTGGAGCTCTCATTCAACCTAGGGACTATGTTATCTGTGGCAAATAAACAACAACTACTCACACAAAAAACTTACTACAGTTGAAAAGGACTCATACTTTCTAAGCACCAACAACCCTGGATCAGAATCTACTTATGGATAGTGGGTTAAAGCAGAAAGGCAGACTTCTGAGTGGGAGTTTCATCTACCAAGAAAATCACAAGGAATATTTGACATACTCCATGAATAAATCATGTACCACATTTTACCATCCCCCAAATTCACATACTTTATTTTAGAAGAAGTGAATCAGGTGCCATTTCATAAGCACACCATAACCTCGTTTCACTCCCATGCCTTTTGATCATATTGTTCTCTTTGTGAGGCAACTCTGTTGACCTACATTTCTTGTTACCATTTCTTCTAAAATCTATAATCCTTTAATTTTTAGTGGACATTGTTAACATTTTATAAGGCTTGCATAATTTAATCCAGTGGTAATTTATTCTGTCTGACAGTATTACTCCTGTTGTGTGCAACAGAGTATAAAATATCTGTATAATGTCCCTGGAAAGTGGCCATCAATCCATTGTTTTGCACACATTCAATGATCAGAATTCACCACTGTAGGAGAAAGTACATTCTAATATCATGTATCTCTGTTCATTGAAGAAATAAAATTGTTTTTTTAGTAACTTCTGTACATTTACTTTTTTTCTATACCTTGTAGTTAAGTGTAATCTTTTAGAAGGCAACCTCACTTTTAGTAATTATATATGTATACATATATATGTTTTGTATATACATATGTTCTTTTGATTTCTTTCAATATCTGGTTTCCAAACCCTTCATAATTTTGTTCATTCTGTTCTAGATGTATTCAATTTTATCAGAAGACTTCCTAAATTTTGAGTCCTGGGATTGAATACAAAGAATCTTAGATATGCCAACCTACCCAAAACAAAAGAGGCTAGATTCCTCTTATTTTGTTCTCTAGAAAGTTGTACCATCCAGTATGTGTCCGGATCCATTCGGCTCAATCGTCACTATATTTTGTCAGAGCTTGCAGTACTTTTCCATTCCTGCCTATGTGACATAGTTTTGTGATTATGTTATCTCCCCTCTGAATAGCCTGTCCTTGGGACGGGCTGAGTTTAGCCTTCAAGTCTGCCTAGAAACAGATAAGGGGGTTTCCATACATGGTATGACAAAGCACCTATATCCTGCTTCCCCTTGATTGGGTAGGAGATTGTCTTCACCCTATTTACATATCTAGTGCCTGCACCGGATTTGCATAAAATGACGTCACCTCGCGGACCTGGTTGAAGACTGTAAACCATTACTGAGGGCGCGCTCCCCTGGACTCCTTGATTGGTCTATTACCAAAGTGGCCTAATTTACATGTGCGATGGGTGTTTCCCTTCCCCTGGCCTATATTGGCTGCAACCTTTCACTCAATAAAGAGAGACTTGATCAGAATACTGTCTTGTCTCCGTTTCTCATGTCTCTTGTTCCCCTCAATTCCCACTCCCTCCTCTAGGGTCTGTGTTGATGTTCCTGCGGGTCGGGGACAAGTATGGTAGCAACTAACTGCGTGTGACAACTGACATTTAATTACACTTATGCTAGCATGTGTCAAGTGCTCAATAGTTACACATGGCTACTGGCTACTGTATCAGACAGTGCATATATAGAACATCTTCATCAGCACAGGGAGTTCTATAGGGCTGAGTTGCTATGGAGATAGAAAGAAAATTAGGCACATTCTGGTTCAACCATTCTGTTACTTTAAGAAATAACGGATTGAGTTCACTCAGTTGCTCACAAAAACACAGTTCCCCTGATACACAGTCTTGTATTCTTTCTCTATACTTTATTGATTTCTGTTAATATCAGAGTCTCATCAAAATGCAGACCTCAGATAAAGTTATGGTCAAGTGGACTTTTTAAGTCTCTAATTCTTATTTTTGTTTTCCTTTATCACAGGCTCTCAGAGCTGGAAGTTTACTTAATCCAACTCTCACTGAAAGGTAGAATTGTTTCTACCTTAATTCCTTCAAGTAATTATAGGTTGCTAGGAGATTAATTGAGCTAATAAAACTTCAAATACTTTAGAGGTGCAGCTTATATGTACTTTACCTCTACTCTCCTTATGTTAAAGACCCATGGAAGGCACAAACTGGTTGTGCTTTACTGTGAACTGAAAGGTTGGTGATCTGAACCAAACCCATCGTACTGTGGAAGAAAGGCAGAGTGATCTGGTTCCATAAAGATTACAGCCAAGAAAACCCTAATGAGCACAGTTCTGCTCTGTCATACATGGCTGTGCTGTGAGACAGAGTTGACTCAAAGGCAGCATTTCAATTTTGGCTTTCTATGTGTTGAAGAGAAGGCCCAGATGCATTCACTGCTTTAGTCCCCAGATGGACCTCAGAGCTCAAGTAATTCGACAGCATTATCATCTCCTTAGAAGAAGACACTGAAGTTCATGAAGTCATACTGCCAGCCAAAGGCAGAGTCATGAATAAAATCCATGTCTCCTGACTTTTACCCCAATTCTTTTTTTTTTTTTTT